TCAGAGTCTCAGGTTACAGGGAAGCTAACCTCAAAGCCTCGCGGACCTCCTGGAAGGAGTCTGTCTGCACGTGTTGCTGTATCTCAGAGACAGGAAACACAACATGAGATATCTGGAGCAGAACAGCTGAGTCACGAGGCAGAAAGGGAAGGAGAGCAGGGACTTTCCAGCTGCTGGAGAACGGGTTAGGCAGAAGCTGCTCGGCACAGAGAAACATGCAATGACCCAAAACAAACACCATCAGTTTATAACCAGGTGAGGAGCGACAGGTTCCTCAGTCAGGGTGCGGAGAGAGAGCTGAGTCACACGGAGAAACACACTTTCTAACAACGGACACGAGCACTTTGGTTTGTTCTGAAGGATTCATTGCTTCTTTATAAGCTTTAAATCACACCCTACATTTTACATTTATATTCAATCTGATATTTAATAATCAATTTCTCTCATATGTATATATAATATCCTGCTTTATATTTTGTTATTGTACATTTGTAATTCAATATGTATATTTTCTTTTTTTTGTAATGCTATTTTTCCAAGTCTACAATTCTGCTGCAACGCTAACATTTCAAAACAAGTACTTCCTATCTTATTTTAGTGTATTTCCTCTAATCCTTCAGTCAAATCCTAAACACTCTCTACAGATCACTCTCTACAGATCACTCTTCACAGATCACTCTCTACAGATCACTCTCTCTACAGATCACTCCTCACAGATCACTCTCTACAGATCACTCTTCACAGATCACTCTTCACAGATCACTCTTCACAGATCACTCTTCACAGATCACTCTCTACAGATCACTCTCTACAGATCACTCTTTACAGATCACTCTCTACAGATCACTCTCTACAGATCACTCTTCACAGATCACTCTCTAGAGATCACTCTCTACAGATCACTCTTCACAGATCACTCTCTAGAGATCACTCTCTACAGATCACTCTCTACAGATCACTCTCTACAGATCACTCTTCACAGATCACTCTCTCTACAGATCACTCTTCACAGATCACTCTCTACAGATCACTCTCTACAGATCACTCTTCACAGATCACTCTTCACAGATCACTCTCCACAGATCACTCTTCACAGATCACTCTCCACAGATCACTCTTCACAGATCACTCTTCACAGATCATTCTCTACAGATCACTCTCTACAGATCACTCTTCACAGATCACTCTTCACAGATCACTCTCTACAGATCACTCTCCACAGATCACTCTTCACAGATCACTCTCTACAGATCACTCTCCACAGATCACTCTTTACAGATCACTCTCTACAGATCACTCTTCACAGATCACTCTCTAGAGATCACTCTCTACAGATCACTCTTCACAGATCACTCTCTACAGATCACTCTCTACAGATCTCTCTACAGATCACTCTCTCTACAGATCACTCTTCACAGATCACTCTCTACAGATCACTCTCTACAGATCACTCTTCACAGATCACTCTCTACAGATCACTCTTCACAGATCACTCTCTACAGATCACTCTCTAGAGATCACTCTTCACAGATCACTCTTCACAGATCACTCTCTACAGATCACTCTCTAGAGATCACTCTCTAGAGATCACTCTCTACAGATCACTCTCTACAGATCACTCTTCACAGATCACTCTATAAAGATCACTCTGCAGATCACTCTCTACAGATCACTCTTCACAGATCACTCTTCACAGATCACTCTTCACAGATCACTCTCTACAGATCACTCTTCACAGATCACTCTCTACAGATCACTCTCTACAGATCACTCTGCAGATCACTCTTTACAGATCACTCTTCACAGATCACTCTCTACAGATCACTCTCTACAGATCACTCTTTACAGATCACTCTTCACAGATCACTCTCTAAAGATCACTCTCTATAGATCACTCTCTACAGATCACTCTCTATAGATCACTCTCTACAGATCACTCTTCACAGATCACTCTCCACAGATCACTCTTTACAGATCACTCTCCACAGATCACTCTCTACAGATCACTCTCTACAGATCACTCTCCACAGATCACTCTCTACAGATCACTCTCTATAGATCACTCTCTACAGATCACTCTCTACAGATCACTCTTCACAGATCACTCTTCACAGATCACTCTCTACAGATCACTCTCCACAGATCACTCTCTACAGATCACTCTCTATAGATCACTCTCCACAGATCACTCTCTACAGATCACTCTTCAGTCTCCATTTTGTGGATTCACACACCTGTTGACAAAATGGCGATGGATTTGGTCGCTGTGTCGCCTGATGATGACATCATGGATTGGATGTTTGCGGTTGCTGGTGAAATGTGAGCCCAGAGACGCAGGATGTGCCAAACCTCATTTCCTGCTTCCTGTTATCTCAGAAATAAAAACATATTTATGAGCAATATATTTAACAGACGTGAACTTTGATCTGATTGATTCTCAGGTGTTGGAGAGGAGATGCGTTCAGGGTCTGGTGATCGTGTTTGAACCTGCAGGTGCAGATTAATCTGGAGATATCATCTGTATAAAAATGATCTTTTCTCTTTTTGAGATGTATGTATTTTAATACATGCTCCATAATAATACATATAATCTTAATCGTATTAATATTTAATACAATTAATAATAATTAATAGTATAATACATGTTATAATAATACACATTTAAAATGAATTAATAGAATAATACTAAATACAAAATAATAATTAATAGAATAATAAAAAGACTTACTGACAATAATATAATAATATTTATAATAATACTTATTTAATTATATTATAATAATTGTAATAATACATATTGGAATAATAATAATAATATTAGTAAATAGGAAACATGTGGTTATTTAATTTAATTTAAATATTACTATTGACTTTCTAGGTTTGTTAATTTTATAATATTGTAGCTTTGTTTAATTAATAAGTAACTAAACATCAAATATTAATATTTGAGTTTCCAGGCAGAACTCAGCGTGAGATATTCTGGTGATCAATATGAAGAGAGGAGGTAACTAAAGGTGATCGATATGGAAAGGTAAATAAAGGTGATTGATATGGAAAGGTAACTAAAGGTGATCGATATGGAAAGGTGACTAAAGGTGATCGATATGGAAAGGTAACTAAAGGTGATCGATAAGGAAAGGTGACTAAAGGTGATCGATATGGAAAGGTGACTAAAGGTGATCAATAAGGAAAGGTAACTAAAGGTGATCAATATGGAAAGGTGACTAAAGGTGATCGATATGGAAAGGTGACTAAAGGTGATCGATAAGGAAAGGTAACTAAAGGTGATCAATATGGAAAGGTCACTAAAGGTGATCAATATGGAAAGGTAACTAAAGGTGATCAATATGGAAAGGTGACTAAAGGTGATCGATATGGAAAGGTAACTAAAGGTGATCAATAAGGAAAGGTAACTAAAGGTGATCAATAAGGAAAGGTAACTAAAGGTGATCAATATGGAAAGGTAACTAAAGGTGATCAATATGGAAAGGTAACTAAAGGTGATCAATATGGAAAGGTAACTAAAGGTGATCAATATGGAAAGGTAACTAAAGGTGATCAATATGGAAAGGTAACTAAAGGTGATCAATAAGGAAAGGTAACTAAAGGTGATCAATAAGGAAAGGTAACTAAAGGTGATCTATATGGAAAGGTAAATAAAGGTGATCGATATGGAAAGGTAACTAAAGGTGATCAATAAGGAAAGGTAACTAAGGTGATCAATAAGGAAAGGTAACTAAAGGTGATCAATATGGAAAGGTAACTAAAGGTGATCAATATGGAAAGGTAAATAAAGGTGATCAATATGGAAAGGTAACTAAAGGTGATCAATATGGAAAGGTCACTAAAGGTGATCAATAAGGAAAGGTAACTAAAGGTGATCAATATGGAAAGGTAAATAAAGGTGATCAATATGGAAAGGTCACTAAAGGTGATCAATAAGGAAAGGTAACTAAAGGTGATCGATATGGAAAGGTGACTAAAGGTGATCGATAAGGAAAGGTAACTAAAGGTGATCGATATGGAAAGGTAACTAAAGGTGATCAATATGGAAAGGTCACTAAAGGTGATCAATAAGGAAAGGTAAATAAAGGTGATCAATATGGAAAGGTAAATAAAGGTGATCAATATGGAAAGGTGACTAAAGGTGATCAATAAGGAAAGGTAAATAAAGGTGATCGATATGGAAAGGTAACTAAAGGTGATCAATATGGAAAGGTCACTAAAGGTGATCAATAAGGAAAGGTAACTAAAGGTGATCAATATGGAAAGGTAACTAAAGGTGATCAATAAGGAAAGGTAACTAAAGGTGATCAATATGGAAAGGTAACTAAAGGTGATCGATATGGAAAGGTAACTAAAGGTGATCGATATGGAAAGGTAACTAAAGGTGATCAGGCGAAAACCTACCAGTTTCACCCACTGTCTCTGCCACCTCCCCCCATGCCTGGCTCCTCCGGTTTGTATCCCTGTATGTAAAGAGGGACTGGTCATATAGTACCGGGTGATTCCCTACCGCCACGATCATTTTCTCCTCCATTATTTGACATATGGGAAATAACTGCGGGCTGGCTCTCCCAACATACACGCGGTTTGATTGGCTAGCGCTTGTACTGTCAGATTTGCTTACGCGGGATTTGATTGGCTGACGCCTCCGTCGAGGCGGCAAAAGTAGAACATTGCTCTACTTTTGCAGCGAGCACCGCGAGAGAAGCTACGCTTTGCTCCCACAATGCAGTTCGGCGAATCGTGACGTCACCCCATTCAAAGTGAATGGGCAGAAGCGTTGAAGCGGCAACGCACGCCGCTGTGTGGACGGGGCCGTCAGAGTTACTTTGTTTTGTTCCATGTTCCTCCATTAGAGAACATTTCCATGTGTTTCTTTCAGAAAGCAGTAAACCATTGGATCTCTAGTTCCACATCAAATCCACGTTCCTCTAGTGTCTGAGACGCTAGTAGAAACCAATACATGTGTTTATGGAAAGACGAGAAGACGGACATTTGGGAGAAGGTTTTTATTGGAAAGAGAAACACGGACAGGAAAGGGTTAACAATGCAGAGCGACTTCATGTCACGCTCACCTCTGAACCCCAAACTAAAGAGAACGTCACAGTGCGCTGGCTACGTACACAAAACCTCCCTGCCCCTAAATAATAGCAACATTATCAAAATCACAAACACCATGTTTTAAAACCAATTCAAGAGACATTTAGAAATAAAGAAACAAGATCACTCGCTGCTACCTGAGTGTGTGTGTGTGTGTGTGTGTGTGTGTGTGTGTGTGTGTGTGTGTGTGTGAGTAAGATGTGTATGTGTGTGTATGTGTGTGTGTGTGTGTGTGTGTGTGTGTGTGTGTGTGTGTGTAAATCCATAATCAGAGGGAAAGCCACCTGTTGATGTGAAACCCAAATGATCCAAATAACATGATTCCTCTGTTCTCTAATCAATGAGCTATTACCTGATTTCCAAACCCTAATCTGATCAGTTATTGATCAGTTACTGATCAGTTATTGATCAGTTATTGATCAGTTACTGATCAGTTATTGATCAGTTATTGATCAGTTACTGATCAGTTATTGATCAGTTATTGATCAGATGATGAATAATGAACAGTTTACGGGGAGAACGTGGAGGCAGCGCCCCCTGATGCAACAGGTGGAGAGTTGATGTGAAGCACCTCACTCTGATGGCTGGTTCAGTCTCTCAGTGAGCTCAGCGCTGGAGGCAGCAGAGAGAGGTTTTTTATTGGCTGAAAGGAAAAGCAGAGAAAGAGTTTCAATCCAGCGCCCCGTACACAACAAGGAAGTAACACTGATTATCCCTGGAGAGAACACACCAAGTGCTTTCCATATCAACATCACACTGAGCTCTGAGTCTGATCTGCTACCTCAAAGCCTGACATTAAAAACCCTGAGAACTCATGAGACAAGGTTTCTGATTGGTCTCTCACCGTTCCTCTTCCTGTAAACCAGGAATCCAATCCCAGCGATGAGGAGGAGAGCGAGAGCAGCCACTGCAGCACCGATGATGAGGGGGAGGAGGAGGGGATTCCCTGAGGAGCAGAAACAACAGGAAGTCTCAATCTGAACGGAGGAAGGAAGCTTCTTCAGGATGGGCATCAGGTCTGAGGCTCCTGAAGGGCCCCTTCCTCCTCGTGGTGTCATGCTGGGTTTGTCTTGAACCATTCTTAGTGTCTCTCTCCTGAGACCCATGTTTCAGGGGAGAGAGACTATGACATGTTGTCAGGGTCTGCTGACTGTTAGTAACCGTGGAGCCGCTGTGATGCAGTCTTACCTCTGTTGCTCCTGATCACAGCTGGGTCCAGTACGATGACGTGGTCCTTCACCCCAGAGAGCTGGAACACACATCGGTACTTGTCCCAGTGTTCAGCGGGGAATGAGGAGACGTCCAGGGCCACGCTCATCTGGAAGGATCCGTCGTGGTTGGGCAGGATCTCTCCGTGGTCCACGTTGTCGTGAAGCTCCTCTCCGTCTCTGGTCCAGAACATGGCGGCTCTGTCCGGGTAGAAACCTGTAGCGTGGCAGCTGACTGGAGAGGAGGGGGACTTCTGGAGCAGAGACACTGAGGGGATCTCTGCACAAACACACTTCAGAGGTTATTGACTCACAGTGATATCACTACAGGGACTTATGATGTACTGTGAGCATCACTGCAGGAGAACACAGAGTCAGTGCTTCAGTCACATTGTTAAATAAAGACTTTCTTCTGTTTGATATCATTTCATATCAAATACTGTTTAGTGTTCAGATTAAAGAAGCACGTTGAATATCTCCTCTTAGACTTTTGGAATTAAGATTCTTTCTATTTCTTGATATTTAAATGTTTAAACAATTCATTTATTTATCTGAAACTAGTCATTACTTAATCCATACTGACAAGAATATGAAGTTTGATCCCAAGATAAGTATCAGAGCAACAGATGAGAGTATCTCCCCTGCACTGGGTAGAGCTATAGCACCATTCACTGAATAGATGATCAGAAGAAAGTTAGTTCCAACACGTCTGATTATAAAATAACACTTTAAGTTCTTTATTAAAGAAATAAACCAAACTTTTTATAGTTCCTGTTTTTTAAAATAAGAGTATTTTGGTCTTAAACCCTTTGCAGACAGAAAGGCTGCGTACGATGGAACACGGACAGCTCCACACCAACACATTCAGATTGACTACACGATGCACACACTACGCCTGTTTCATCAGGTCCAGATGAAATGGTGTCTTCTGTTCCATGTCCCATAAAAACACCTTTGTTTGGAGACGAGTTCAATGTTTCACTAATCTGAGACTGTTCAGTGTTAGTCAGGCAAAGAGGAGAAGCAGAAGAGTGAGAGAGAGAGTGAGACACAGAGTGAGACACAGAGTGAGACACAGAGTGAGACACAGAGAGAGACACAGAGTGAGACACAGAGTGAGACACAGAGTGAGACACAGAGAGAGAGAGAGAGAGAGAGAGAGAGAGTGAGACACAGAGTGAGACTCA